GGGGGGGGGGGGGGGGGGGGGAGGCCAGGTCCTGTGCAGTGGGTGTGCCCTGGCCTGACCCCACTCCCTCTGTGTCCTGACCAGCTGGCCCTGGACATCGATAGGGATACGGAGGACCAGAACCGGTACCTGGACGGCATGGTAAGGTCTGCAACTTGCACGCGTGTCTTGGTCAGCCCTGCCCTCTGCCCGCTGGGCAGCCCTGGGGACCGGGGAGGCTCTGCCCGTGTGACCGTGCTGTGTTTCGCCCCCAGGGCTCGGATTTCATGAGCATGACAGGCCTGCTCACGGGGAGCGTGAAGCGCTTTTCCACGATGACGCGGTCTGGGCGAGACAACCGGAAGCTGCTGTGCGGCGTGGCGGGGGGTCTGATCGTGGTCTTCTTCATCCTCTACTACCTCCTGTCCAGAGCAAGGACGTGAGCCAGTGGAGCTGGCTCTGGGGGTGCCCTGGGCAACTAGGGCCTCCTGCCCCGTGCCTGGCTGCAGAGGCCCTGCTGCCTAACACTGCTTTGACATGGTGACCGTGGCTTAGGGTCTCCTCCCGTGTGGCTGGGAGACCAGCTGCCTCCGACCTGAGCTGTGTGGCTGGCGCAGGGGCCCCAGGTGCTCGCGGCACCGTCAGCCTCCTAGGAGCAGAGCAGCCGGGAACCCTGGACATGGCCGCCCGTGGCCTGCAGCCCTTCCCCAGCCCTCGGCTCTGACACCCCATCCTTGTCTGGGAAAGGCTGCGTCTGCTCTCAGGTGCCTGGATCTGACGGAAGCCGGTGAGGCTGCGAACCTCAGATCAGCGCCATCTTCCCCACGTGGGTTCCAGCCCAGGGTGGCAGTTCCTCCTGCCCCGGGCTGCCGAGCACAGTGGGGTGGGCGGCGGTGCTGAGGGCCCCGCTCGGCCTCGATCTCAGCCTCGCCTGCCCTCCAGTCCCGCAGCTGAAGCCAGACCTCCGGGGAAGAGCAGGTGGTGCGGATGAAGGAGTGGAATGCAGTCCTGGCTGGGGGCCCCAGGCCCCAGCCTTCTGGATCTCGCGGCCGTGTATCCAAGAGCAGAAATCCACATTTTCTCAGGATTGAGGATCCACCCAAAGATGCATTTCCTGGAGACCAGGGCTCTAGAAGCAGGTCTTTTTGGCAATTCAGAGTCGGGCAGCGTGTGCATGTGCGTGCACGTTTCTATGGGTCTTGACAGCGGGCTTCCCTGTAAGGACCCTGTTCGTAGGACCTGTGGTCACTTCTTGAGGGTCCCTGGGTAATTCCCTCTGCACCAAGCCAGCCCTTCCTCCCACAGGGAGTCTCCCGTGCTGTGAGGGAGCTTTGAGCCAGGCCTTCTCCCCAGCTTCTGCAGCCTGTCCTCCCGATGGCCTGTCCCCGGGCCCTAACTGCCCACTTGGCAGGCCCTGTGCCCACACAAACCAAACCCCAGGCCAGCGGCTTCTCACCCCAGGGAGACCCCAGTGCCCTTGTCTTCACATAGAGCCAGTTATTGGCTCTGTCCTTCATGGCTTTGTTCCTATCCTCTGCTTTCCCAGTCTCTCCCATTACTGCCTGCAGGCTGTCGGCCCACTGTCCACCTGCCTGCACGGTTACCCCACGGGGCCTCTTGGCTCCTGCCATCCGCTGCTCCTCCCAGCAGGCCGAGCCTGTCCTCACGGTCACCGTGGTGTCCTCCAGCGCACCTGGCTGGGCCCTTCGGCCTCCGGGAGGGGTCCAAGGGCTCTGCTCTGTCTGCCCTGCCCTCCAGCGCATGCTGATGTCACGGAGCCCTCGAACCCACCTGTCTCTGGGGCTGCTTCCCTCGATGATGGTCCAGCCCTGTGACCCCGTGCGCCTCAGCTCTGGCTCAGCCTCTGCTTCTCTCCAGTGAACCCCGTCATGGGGGCTTGTGCACATCACCACGCTGCTGCCGCTGCCTGCCATGCCTCCGCCCAGTCCTGCAGACGGCTGAGCCCGCGCTCCACGGCCCCCATGCCTCCCTGGCCTGCGGTGCTGGCCTCGCCCAGAGAACATGGCTCTGCTATGGCACGAGGTTACCACGCCCCGGGGCTCTGCCTCTCGCGGGTGCGATGAGGAGTGCAGGCTCTGTCGGGCGGCCTCCGGGAGCGTCCTGCTCTGACTCCTCGCTGTGCTTGCCCCCCTCCGTCTGTCCCCAGGGCCCCTTGCGACTTCAGCCATTTTGGGGCCTGGACTTCTTGCTTCTCCTTGTGTGAGGGTGGATTCCATGAAGGCGGCACGCAGGCCATCACCCTGCTCAGCACGGGTGTGCTGTGCGCACACCACCTAACTCTGCTGGGAGGGTTGCTGACACTGAGCCCTAAGAGCAGCCCATGTCCTGTGAGGACGACCTGCCAGGCTCCCCCACAGCTCAAGGACAAGACAATAAAAATTTGGAATAAACAGCCTCATTTCCTTGGGCTTGAGAGGGCTTTGTGGCACTGACCCCGGTCCCTGCATGCTGTGGGCACCTAGGGGCTGGGCCCGCCTGATTCCCCTCTTGGGGTTCTCCCAGGTCCCTGCGCCTCCTCACTCGTTCCCTCAGACGCGTGCTCTGCTCAGGTTCAGTAACTCAGCCAGGGGCAAGGCTGCATCGCCTCGTATGGGGCCAGTGAGTGACCATGCGACAGCTGACACCTGCCCTGTCCTGTGCTGCCTGCCTGGCTGGGATGTATCAGGGCACCCTTCCAAGTCACTCAGCCGTGGCCGGGCTGCTCAGTGGCCTGGGTGTAACCCAGTACACCAGGAGGTCACGGGTTCAGTCCCGGTCAGCGTGCATGCAGAAGGCAGCTGGTTGGTGTTTCTCACATTGATGTTTCTCCCTCTCCCTGTCTCTCTGAAATTAATAACATATCCTCCTGTGCAAGCTAAAAAAGCCCCCCCAAACGTCAGTCAAATCGCAGTGAGCCCGGCTGGATGGCTCAGTGGTTGAGCGTCAACCTGTGAACCAGGAGGTTGTGGTTGGATTTCTGGTCGGGGCACGATCCCCAGTGGGGGCCGTGCAGGAGGCAGCGGGTCAGTGATTCTCATCGTCGATGTTTCCCTCTCCCTCTCTGAAATCAATATTTTTTAAAAAGTCACAGGTGACCGATGCCCCACAGTTAGTGGCTGGGACAGGACAGGATGCCAGGCCTCACCTGGACAGGCTGGCTGCATCACCAGCGGTTACTCCCACGGCTGCAGGGCAGCGCTGGGTGAGCAGAGGTCGGACGGGCCAGCTGCTCAGGTGCTGCGCCCCACAACGTGGTGCTGTTGCTGAAGCGGGGAGCAAGGGAGGGTGGGTGTCCAGGCAGGCGTGTGTCCTCCGTGTGCTGTGTGGCCCAGCCCAGAAGTCACCCAGCAGCAGTTCGGGGCGGTCACTGCAGATTCGAGGGGCGGAACAGACCCCTTCTCTGGGGTGGGGAGAGCCCATCGGGAAGGGAGAGCGTGTGGGAGAGGCACAGGTGTGCCCATGGGGTCAGGGCAGCCTCACCCCCCAGCCTTCCTGTCTGCCCAGACCCCAGGCTGGCAACGCCGGCCCCTAACCCAAGACAAGTCCATAGCAAATGGAATCATGATTTATTATATATGTGGGCACACAATTAGCAAGGGGATGCATAGAAAAATGTCATAATTGTCCAAAGAAGCATGCTTCGGCCCGCGGGCCAGGCGGGTGGTGGCTGGGCTCTGCCCGTCCCTGCCCCGCCCGGGGCTAGTCCACCTGCAGGATCAGGGGGGTCATGTAGTCGGAATGTTTGATGCCGAAGGTGACGATGGGGGCGCAGGGCTTGGTCAGTTTCACCTGGCGGAGGAGAAGCTGTGAGGGGCCGGCACCCCTGCCCCCACCCCACAGGCCCATCTCCCGCCCCAGCCAGTCTGGGCCGGGTCTCCCTGGCCCCACCCTCTTCCCTGCACCCCTCGGGCTCCCAGACCTTCTCGGGGCTGTGGGCTCCTGGTCCTGGCTTGAGGGTCTTGTCCCCCGGGGGCTCCACTCGGGCCGCAATGGTGTACTGGGGAGCCTTGAACTTCGTCACCTGCACGTCGGTCTGGTGGTAGGCCGCAGGACCTGGGGTCTGGGAGGCGAGAGGCTCAGACAGGCTTGGCTGCCAAGGCATGTGACCCGGAGGCCAGGGCCAGTGCTGGCTGGGGTTTCCGGCCCCGAGTCACTGTGTCTGTGGGTCAGGGCCCTCCTGTCTCCACAGCGTTCCCCATGGCAATGAAGCCCCAGTGCTGTGGGTCCCTCTGTGTGGACATCTTCCCCCCGCCCCTGATTTCAGCCTTGTGGTGGCAGTGACGCCCCAGCGTGTGGCAGCCCCGGCTCATCCCCCCTGTGAGTTGTGAGAGGCCGCTGCCCGCTGGGACCTGTCCTGTGGGCCTGGCGCTGGGCGGGCTGGACAGCAGGGTCGTCGGAGCGGCTCAGTATAAGCCCACCTCCGGAGCCCTCCCCCAGTGCTCACAGCTCCATGTGTCCTCCCACCTCCTGCCAGCCGCCCTTGCCAACACAGGGCCCCGGGGACCCCTTTGCTGCTCAGCCCTCCTCCGCCCTCGAATGTGGCCCAGGCACGTGGCCGACACCCAAGGGGTGAAGCGATGAGGGGCCTCAGGAGGGTGGGGTCAGACGGGGGGTCCTGGGAGAGGGGTCAGACGGGCCCCCCGGGCGCCCCTTGCCTTATGCAGGTCTTCGCTGAAGCCGCCCAGCTTGCTGCGGCCCTTGATGGAGTAGGAGGGCTGGGAGGCTTTGCCAACCGTGTGGGGCCCCATCACCATGGGCAGCATGTAGGCGGCAGGGCCTGCGGGGGGCACAGGGCTGAGAC